CCCGCCTCCCCTTCCGAACCCCCCAACACCCCTTTGGGAATGTTGAGTCTTATTGAGGCTTGGCCGCTCTCGCCGTCCTCTCCCTGTCGGCAGCGGAGGGCTAAGCGGGCCGGTTCCGCGAGCCTCCTGAGAGATTTTACTCACTAATCAGACTCTAAACATGATTGTGAAATCTTGCAGCAGTTTGGATATGACTTTCTGTCCATGAGTTCTTTTTTTAATTTATTTTTCCTGTTTGCGGTGAACGTGATCGTTTTTCCAGCCATCCAGCCAATTAGTATTAATGAGGCCTTTGCTCACTAAGTTGTCCAAGCGATGACATTCTCATCCAGATGACTGTTGGCCTTCAGGGCTGGAGGTGGCACACGGTAGCGCTCTCTGGCCAGTGTGTCATGTGATATTTAACCATAGCTCATCACTTCGTCCTGCATGTCTGCACACCAACAAAATATTCCAAAGTATCATGAACGCACAGCGAAATTTTGGCCTTGGCCAGGTGCGGCTCTTCGGATGTGACGCTGAACCAAAGTGCGCTTGTAACCTCGGTTGATTTTCCCACCAGACAACGGCAAATCTTGTGATAAGCCAGGTTTTATGTTTTTCCCCTTTTAAATCCTGCATTACCCTCATCTGAACCATTTCTGATTTCCCTACATGACCTCTAACCTTTGAGTGTCAGGATGTTTCCTCGGAACTGTATTCAGATTACATAACAGCTGCAGCCCAGTAACGCACTTTACATGCAGTCTAAATTACAGTGTGTGTTTGTGTGTGTGTGTGTGTGTGTGTGTGTGTGTGTGTGTGTGTGTGTGTGTGTGTGTGTGTGTGCGCACGCATTGAATGTAACACAATGCCACATTTGTGCCAGTCCAAACAATTTGTCCATTGCTATTATTCCGCAGTCTTTTTAAAGTTCTGTGGGAGAGAACGATGAGCGTCCTGGTTTTTGGCCAAGCAGTGTTTCTGGGGGCTGCGTGTGGGAGTCAGAGAAGGTGCATCCCCCTCCTCCTCAAGGTACAGGGGGAGGGAAGGAGGAGGTTTCACAGGCCGCTCGCGGACAATTGATTGTCAGCGGTAATGTGTTTCATTTACATGTTTATACCGTCAATAATGGCGGGGGGTTGTCCGCCGCGCCATTCAGCGCCGCCATTCCCATACGGGTCGCCAATTGTGTGCAGCCTTCCACTTCTGATGGCTTCTTCTGTGCAGAGAACTGTTTCACGCCGCATCCGCGTTGAAGGGATTATTCTGTTTGAGCAAGTGAAATAATTACGGCGAGATGTTCTGGGGGACGCTGTGGCGTGGCGGCTTTTGGTCCACATAAATGCGGCAAGGCGTGTTTTCACACCTCAGCCTGGTGCAGGAGTCTAAATAAGCAGCGTGTGGCAACCACAAACAGGCCGAATAAGAGGTCAGATTTGTCCCATCACTACCAGTGTGACTTCTTTGGATTTGTTCTTCCCTCGCCTGTGGCTTCGAACTACAAATCTAAAATGATATACATATTTATAAATATACTTTCTGAGTGAGAGTCGAGTGCACCAGTGTGACGGTCTTCTTCTTCCACGCCCCCCCCATTTTTGTCATTTAAAAATGGAAGCTTTTTATTCTTTGATATTTTGTCATTTCATAATTTTCATAGCTATTATTTTGTCTTCATCGTCATCTCTGATATGTGTCCCAGTTGAGCAGCAAGTGTACACAGACATGCACAGTTGCTTACACCTTTGACAAGACACATAAAAGCAAATAGTGTGGCTTGTGGCTGTGGGGACACACAAACAAACACGCACGCGCACACACACACACACACACACACACACACACACACACACACACACACACACACTAATGACCATCTCCTCCACCCTGGACACTGGATAGAACCTTTTCATCCCTCCTCCTCATCATTCTCCAAAATAGCCAAGAAAAACATTTCCTGATGTATTTTATTTCATTTCTTTCCCATTTTTATTTTTTTCTTTTTCGTGTCCTCGACCACCGCGCTTGTGTGAAGACGTTTCTTTTCTTTTTTTGATTCCCCCCTCCGCCTGGCGGCCAGCGAACACACACTCGCAGAGGCACCGGCGGGCCAGACCCCTGACACGGCGGGTCTTCGGAATGCCTTAGGTACCATTTCACTTTGGCTCACATCAATGCTGACCTGAATGCCTTTCATATCTGATCCGCCGCGTCTCTCCTGGTAAACATCCCCCGGGGGGAGAACAAAGAAAGGAGCTCCTCTTCTGCTGCTTCTTCTTCTCCCTCTTAATCACAATTCAGCCCCTCTCGCCGCCAGCAGCAGGGCTGCACATTTGCATTCAGCATCAGAAAGGGGGCCGAGATGAAAAGGGGGGGGGCGAGGGAGGAAGATGAGGGAGGAAGGGGTGGCTGCTGGAGAGAAATAACTGGGCTGTTTGTGCTTGTTTGTTGCCGGTCCCCTGGTTACAAGCCTTTTATAGCCTCCCTCCTTTCGCGGGGGCCCGGGCCCCTCCTGACACACAGATAGTGTTACGAGATGGCGTGCTCGCACTATTCGTGGACACTGGCACTTCTTAAGAAGAAGCGGCGGGCTTTTGCATCCGTGAGCAGGTGTCGTCTCGTTCTTGCCTGCAAAAGTTTGTGACCTGCAAACACAGGCAGGTGTCTCACAAGCTCCTTGTGTAACTGATATCTTTATCGTGCACCTCCCAGGCGGGATGGATGCAAATCTTCAGCAAAGATGGGGAGATTTGGGATGTGGGGTGGGGGGCAGCATGTGATATGGATTTCTTTTTACCCTTTCTTTTCCTCACACAGAACTTTTTTTCCCCTTTTTGGTTAAGAAGAAGGATTATCGGTACACCTTCCCTCCCCCACCTCCTCCTCCTGGCCAAGCTGCGCAGGATTTAGGCAGATTTACTTCAGCAAACACCTTTGGACGCTGAGTGGGGGGGGGGCGCGCTTGAAGGAGAAAGAGTCTGTTTGCAAAAGGGGCCTTTTGTTCTGAAAGGTTCTGGATAATGCCTTACCAGGCAGCCATGATATTAACCCCTGCTTTAGAGGGACAGGGTGGCTGGTGTCGGGGGGTAGGCGGGGAGGGCGTTGCTCTTGAAAAGGGGGTGTGAGGGTCTTCAAACACGCACATACACATGGAGTCAGTGCCAGAACTGGGGAAAGTGACGGCTGGGTGAGAACCAGCCAGGACATTCGCAGTTGTGATCACATTCGGTCGCTGTGACCACGGCGGGCGTACAACTATGCTGCTGCTTCTCATGTTAGGATTCTTGAGCCACTTGACATGTTATCGATGTGTCCGCTCTGCCCGCCTGACTTCATTTCATGCCTCCTTCTCTCCTTCCCTTCCCGTCTTTCTTTCTTAGTAACAAAAGCAAACACAATTGTAGACCTCAATGGTCCGGCAAATACCTGCATGCTTGTGTACGCACGCCATCTTTAATGCCTCAACGCGGCACGACAATGCATTCGCAAATATCACGCCTCATTTGAGTCAAGTGACAAGTCTTTATGGGGCCCATCCGGCCCGGCTCATCCTGCCGTTTGTTTTCACTCTGCTGCTGTGGCACATCCTCCATGTGATTCTCCACATGTTCACACACCTACGGTACTTTTTTTAGTTGATATGGTTACCGAACCGACAGAATGTATCTATCCGTCTCTCCATTTTCTGA